GGTGAGGCATCTCAGGATGCAGTCGGTGGGAAAATGCCACCAAATTGGGCACCGTCAGCCCCAGTTTGGATCCAGACCTCCTCAGCCCTCCTTCCTCTCCTACCCTGCACCCAGTGCTGTTGCAACCGGGAGCCCCCAAAACCCAATTTCTTCACCTATCCCTGAGTAACCGCGCACAAATTATTTGTAGGGGCTGCTCTCTTTGGCATCTACAGTAAGTATTGGTATAATACATCGTTTTGAGTTGATTCTACCCCAAAAGTACAGGATTTCTAAGGAGAAACTATGCATGAATTTAAGTTTCTAATACTTGCTCAGTCTATAATTTCAGCTGTACGCACACTTTTCACTAAAGCTGGAATCATTAAGCCCCTTCAGGTTTGAAACCTCACGACCTGCCACTTGTTATTCCTATAGGTGCTGCACCTGAAATCCAGTCCTGGCCATCTCCAGGCGAATTATATTGGATGCAGAGCCCGGGGACACAGTAACCCCTCCAAGCCATCGTCCCCATGAGCCTCATGCAGGTGGTGAATCGTGCACTTCTGAGTTTCAGAGCTGGCTGGGTGTTTAGCGCCTTAGGAGAGGTTTCAAGTCAAACTTGAGCTGCTGGAGGAATGCAATTTTAAAAGCTTGCAACTGATGAAACCTTGCCTTTGCTCACTAGGAGCCTACGTCCTGGCATTCCTTACAGGCTCCCCTGGACACTCGGAACAGGAATAAGAAATACCTTCCAATGATGGTGTGAGCACACAGCTCAAGACAAAAAGAAACAAAAGCCCAATATATATTTAAATCTCCAGTTTTGCACAAAGAGGTTAATTACGGCACAAAAGGAAATCTTTAGCCTTCATTCCAAATTCCTTCAAGGATAACTGCATCATTGCTCCTAATTATAAATTCTTCGTTTTCTAATGACAACACAATCCAGCTGAAGATTCAGGGCTGGGCTCTCTCGATCTGGACACGTGAGCTTGGGCAACCCCTCAGACCTCTCCACCCCGCTTTTGTAACACAGGTTAATGACACGTACCCTGCTTGGTGCAAACACCAGATTAAAAATCTGGAAATTGCAAGCGCTGCTTCAGAAGCTTTGTGCTAAAAGCTTTTCCAGACAAATCTTTCTTTTTTTTTTTTTTTAAATACACACGTGTGGAATCACTCGCGGCCACACGGATCACATGCTGACGCGAACGAGTGTGTGCAAATCCTCACGTCGGGGTGTGCAAGAGTTGCGCACGTGAATATTTGTCCGTGCAAGGGGCAGCACACCGCAGCCGCACGCACGGCAGCTTGTGAATGTATACAAACCCGAACCAGAAAAGCGGTTTTTCTGTGTCTCGAGCTGCAGAGTAAGAATTTTTGCATATTATAAATGCCTGCAAACAGCTGCTTGCAGCAGACCTTTGCCAAGACTCCCGCAACAGCTGTGCTGGTGGGGC